ATCTCTACACACGCAAAATATTGCAACATGAAGGAGAAGTGAAAATAATTGATAAAAAAGTAATATGTATGAAAATTCCACACTAGAATTTCATCTTTACAAAGAGTCACTAAATGTAATAGTTACGAATGCAGACAGATACTCACATGTAATATGGGCCAAATACCATGAACAGTGCCATAGTGACATGGTTTTTCTAGTCAAAACAACCTCTTGGTAAAGTCCTGAACTTAAAGTCCAGCCTTTTCTCAATTAACAGAGTAGTTAGTTGCATTTCTGGAAAATTCAGATCATATTGAATCCATTTTCAAAAAAAACTTCATTCATATGTTGAAGAGTTAAATTCTAGGTTCAGAAAAACTAAAAACAGGAAACAGGTGGTTCACTTATGTGAGTGCTCTGTGGACTTTGGAAAATATGCAGGACACAAGACAGTTATTCATATTTATATTGCAGGACTATACTGCATATTACACGCATTCTCGCAGCCCTGCCCTCTTGCCTTTGCCCCTTAATTGTGATTTGACAATCAGATATGTACCTACAGATTTCCACAACTCCCTCTTGGAAAAAGCTCCCATCAGGAACCCTCTAATACTGTTAAAGGGGCCAGAAATGTTTTTGGAAACATTTAAGTACTCCTTTATTTGTTATAAATAAATCTTTTATATATTTTCTTAAAGTAGGTCTTTATATGTTAGACAGTATTTAATAATTTTAAATTGCTCTGTATCATTTAGTTATATGTTAAATATTTACATCAAGCTTCAAAAGTAACCTGATCACCAGAGAATGAAATGAATTTATTAGAAGTTTTTCAGACACTTCTGGAAAACTGCCTGGACACTCAAGTTGTAGTTGGTGATCTAGACAGACTCCCAAAATACCGGTTTCTGCCTCATCCCACTTGGCTCTTTCTCAGTACTACCTAGGAAACTAATCCCAACACCAGCACATCCTCACATTTCATTTTGGACAGTCCTATACACCGCATAGTTAACAGATTGTTTTTAGAAGCAGAACCCTTTTTAATCAGTTAGCCTTCACCCTTATAATTTCTAGCCTGAATATACACATAATAAAAGAATGATAAGGATGCCCAGTCACTAAGATAATAAGCCCCAGTATTCCCAAGCAGTCCAGTGATTAAGCACTCAGGCTTTGAGGACATGCTATATGGTTTTGTATCCTGTCACCAGCACTTACTAGATAACTGGCAGTGTGACCCGTGCAGGTTAAACTTTCTCTGTTGCAAATTCCTTTAAAGGGAAGGTAAATGTAATTCTTTCATAGGGTCGGAAGACAAAAATATATAATTTGTGTAATATGTCTGATGTAGAGTAAATGTTTAGTAGCTTTCAACTGTTATTCCAAAATTCAACATACTTTCATTTCTTTTTCACATTGAAATCAACACATGCAGGCTTTTCCTCACTACACAGTATGATTTCATCCTATTTATGTGTATTTTTCTTTCTCTTCTTGGTTCCAGGTCAAGTCTAGATGATTACTGTCCTTCTGAGCAAGTTGACACCATTCAAGAAAAAGTCCTCAACATGCTACACTCCCTCTATGGGACCTTAGACATTCATCTGGTGTATTCAGCAGAGTCTTCACCATCTTGAAACAACAAAACACTAAGCTATTACATCCTGATGTAGTAACAGGGTTTTCACTAATTTATTTGTAAATGAGTCTTCCAGAAAACACTTCGTTTTTATGTCAACTGCCACTTAAAATCTTTCAGGTACCATCAGTTGTTGAATGATGGCAATTTTTTGGCATCAAATCTACACCCAATTGATGGAACTATTGCTGATCTTTCTTCCTTTCTATAATTGTCTTCACTTTGTGAGGTGTTTTTTTTCCCCTCTTTTCCCCTTTTTTCCCTAGGTCAGTTGGACTGTATGAGATTCGTTCATTAATTTATTCACTCAACTAACTAATATTTATTGAGTACTTATATGCACCAATCAATTAAGTGCTGGCTGTATGGTAATAAACAGACTAGACAAGGCCCCTGCCCTCTTGAGGGACAGGTGGGAAACAAATTATGGATTGAAAAAAAATGCTAGGAAGGAAAGGACAACAACACACATGTATTAGGTATGTTCGTAGTACTTAGACCACCCTGGCCTTATAGGAAAGTAACATTCTCAAAAGCTACTACCAAAAAAATAATAATAATAAACTTTGCCAGTCCATGAAAATGTTGCAGGAAGTCTACCTCTCCAAGACTGTTGGGACTGTGGCCCAGCTCTTGCTAAATGCTCTCAGCATTGTTGGTATTAAGGAGACCTATTTAAGTAAACCAAACAAAAGTTAACTTTGTCATTTGCTAATCAGAAAAGCCCTTCTGGATTTTTTGTGCCTCCAGGATGGTCGGTGTGGGCATTGATTATCATAATTCCTAGATGCCACTTTATTGGCAGTCAGGGTAGACACTTTTTTTCAAATAAACCAGCTCTTTAAATAGTAGAGGAAAAAGTTAAATTCTTAATTCTAGCCTACAATACTGCCTTCCTCCAGCCTCCCCATAAGAGACCCTGAGTCACTCTTAATTATGGAGCTTTTCAATCCTTAATTTGCTGAAGTCTTCCCGTTTTCAGTATCCCTCATGTTCAGGAATCATTTTTAACTACCTACTTGATTTCCTTTAAAAGGTAGGATGGCATTTAAAGAAAAAAAATCCATTATTCCTCAATCCTAACACAGTAGGTATTTTTCATGTAACCTTCAGGCCGTGACCACATGTGTACCTACCTGTAGAGTTGCATGTAACAAATGATAGTGTTTTACCTAACTTTATGGCTAATACCCAAGGTCACATTACCACTGCCACTCACTAGATGGCATCAGAACTCATTTTCCCAATGATTCTATTTTCCAGTGAATTTTTCTTGTCACCACCTTGATTTCCCAAGACTGATAGTATGAATGTTTGTTTATTATGAAAAGCAAAGCAGACCGATTCATCTTTCCATTTTGATGGAACATTCGTTCCAAAAGCTTTATTTCTCTGTAAAATCAGTATTGCAAAATAGTGCTGTTTATTTTTTAATTTTGAAAAATTTTATTATAATTCTGTAAATAGATGTTACTTTTATGAGTAAATTAATTTTGTGTTCTAAAGAAATAAAAAGGTGTATGTTGAGTTTCTAAAAGTTTAAAATCAAACTATAGCACTAATGGTATATGATCTCAGTATGTTCGTAGCATTGATCTTATGAATCTGGTTTAGTTATTTTTTACAATTCCCATGATCACTAATATGCTTCAGCATTGTTTTAATAAAAGGGCATCAATTTCCTTTTTAGCAACACTCGGATTCTTTAGTCCTCATACTCTGTAATTCTCTTGGAAGAATAAAATCAGTCCCTACTAGTTGACTAGAACCAACTTAGTAAATTATGTGTCTGTGCATTTCAAATAGAAAGATGTTTAGTTTCTCAAGACATCCTTCATATGTGTTCTAATGAGGAATACCACAATACAGTGTTTTTTGGATTATGTACGGATATTACTGAAGTATGGAATTTTGAGCAGCTTTTCTTTTTAATGTGACTTAAATGTCAGCATAGGCCCTAGTTTTGAAGTCTTTAAATGTTCTAGGTTCTCAGGGAGCTCTTGGTCAGAGTCCTTCATTCCTTATATATTCTTTACAAATATTTATTTTAGCAGTAGTGGCCCTGGATTGCTGGTAATATATCCATTATGCTGCCAGTAGTTTATCGTCAGTGGTATGTTTCTTAGCACAAGATTATCTCATTCAGCATACATCTTAAGAGAAAGCACTTTCATGAAACAAGTTTTTGTTGGACATCTTTCAGAAATGCTTGAGATACATGAGGATCAGCCGTGTAAATATTAGGTTTTGGACTGTGCTGTACTGCCCGGTCATCCTGAGTTGCAGCACCCTCGTAGTGCTTCTGAACTAACTGGTCCTGGGCTGTCTCTGGTTTTGTAGTTCCAGCTGTACTCCTGGGATTCCAAACATCACAGCCATTCTTCCCCTTTATTCTCATTTGAGTTCACAAATGAAGTGTCTAAAGTTTCCGCGAACCTTGATTTTTAGGAGTGAGTGCTCTGAACAGTGAATATTCTGGTCACTCACTGGAAGGATGCATCTTACCACTGCAAATTAGTACATCGCAGATTAGTAAACTGGCATTTCATACATTAGCATATTTGAGTTTGTTTCCTGTGATTCAGAAGCAGGACCCCATTACAGAGGGGGAGAGGGGGCTGAGGCTACACAATTTCACTTTCTTTGAAGACCTTCCCTTGTTGAATACTTAGCTGACCTCCAGCTATAACATACGTGCCGTTTCTCTAACTTGAAAATATTCTTCAACAGCAAGCAGATCTCTGAAGCCTATCAATCAGCCATCAGCACTATTTGGAAGCCTAAGCACCTCAGTTGATGCGAATCATGCCAAGAGTGAGACAAGAAGTATTATGACTGAAATAGAGTAGAGACAGTGGTAAGTGAGAGCTCCACAGGGCTACTGCCTGACTCGAGTGTCCCTTTTTCCATGCCTCAGCTTCTAATTTTACAATAAAAGGACTTAATTCATCAGAATATTGTGAGGAATAAAACATATAAAGCCCTTAGTACAAGAACCATTCAGTACACATTGGCTGTCATTTCCAAACTCAGCCCTAATTAGAATGTCCTGTGACAGCTATTCTAGGTCTCAACTGCTCTTATGCCTCTCCTAAATACAGATTTTTTTTTTTAAACCACACATTAGGTTCTACTTTTTTATTTAATGATGGAATTTCGATTTATTCAAAGAAGGCAGGTCCTTCCCATAAGGGAAGAAATAACAGGGCTTATAATTTAAATTTTTTTTTCTGCACTTGGTATAAGCATCTATTTACTTTTAAAACCTGTGCTCCTGTGTAATCAGGCAGCGGGGGGTCAGAGAAATCAAAGCCTGCCCCAGCTTGCTTTCCTCTTCACACTTGCCTCCTGCCTGGTTATAAATAAAGCTAGGATTTGTGATGCTAAACCTCTAATGTAGACAATGTTTAGAAGTTGCTACCCCTAGACTTATAAATTACTTTCATAGAATCTAGGGTTATCCTTATCATTTTTGACATTGCTGATTTATGGGTGACTTCCACAAAAAAGTCCCTTGTGCATCAGCCAGAGCATGACAAATGGATGTCCTCTCCAATCAATGCACTGTTATTGTGAAACCCCTCCCAAGCACTTCCCCCAGGCCTCAGCCTTACCACAGAGCAGGTTAATGAAAACGGGATCATTAGAAAGGGGGAAAGCCTGTGTCGGCTTGGCCTAATGAGGTTATATAACAGCACTTCAGATATGACTCTGATTACTCAAGGAGGGAGAGACAGGGATGAAGTCAAAGTTGGAACTAAGCTTGAAATCCAGCTTTTGAACAGAAACTACACTGAGATCTGCCCAGCAGCACCATTCACCCTCTACAGCATTGCCCCATCTGGAGCAGGCACAGGTAATGAGTGGCACCATCATCGCAAAGTGACACCTGAGGTACTGGTGGCTTTGAAATCAGTCCAGGTACAAATACTGCTGCCAGTTACAAGTTATGTGAACTTGGACAACTTAACCTGTCAGAGTCCCTTGTTTTAGAGGTTGTTTAAGGCCCTTCCTGTATTCCTACAGGACTCTCTACTGTACTCCAGTATCACACGTTAGCTGTTTACATCTGCTCTCCCCAGTGGACCATGAGCCCCTGGAGGGTGTCATCACACACCTTTGTAGCTCAAGTCTCTGGCATAATTCCTATCTATCATAGGGCCTCAAAAAATGTTTAAAGACCACTGAGGCTTGACCTAATAAGGTTATGTAACAGCTCTTATTAGTAATAACCATTATATACCTTATATTATACATTCTCTTGTGAGCGTGCTATCTTTGAGAGCAAATTGAACAAATGCAGGTATTAATACAAGAACAAACATTTACCAAGGATTAGACATATTAAATACATGAGTCCAAAAGAACTAAAAGATAATACCTGTAATCTAATTATTGATAAACAAGAGAAAGGCAATCATGTAAGTTTTCCAGCTCTTTTGTCATCTCTCTTATGTATAAAACTTTATCAAACCATGTTCCACAATGCTTATGTCAATGTGAAATAAAATGCATATAGTTTCATTTTTCTGCCTAAAATTCACATCTAATGTTTTACACTACTGTCCAAAAACTGGATATAAACTTTCACATCTAACATTTGACACTACTGTCCAAAAACCTATGGAGGTGAAATTTTGGTCCCTCAAAAGAATATTGTTTTCAGATTATAGCTTTGCTGACTGTTGGAGGAGTAACTATTTCTCACTTCTGACTTTCCTTCCATATGGAGGCACCTTTCAATACAGTTCGGAGGAGGAAACCTCAGGTGAGAAATAGCCCTGAGATGGTGTTTGTGACAAAGCGTGAGGCCCTTTAAATGAGGAAGTATCTTTTCAAACAAAAATCAGCCTGCTGCACAAAAGGGACATTGGCTATGTTTCTCTAGATAATGCAACAGACCAAAGTCCTGGGCTTGCGAGGAAGAATGAAAGAATGGAATTACAGGATGCCTTCTTATAGAAGTATATGTTCTCTGTCCTTCCATGCCATAAATTTGTAATAACAGGTCCCATGGGAGAGGTTTACGGTTGTCCAATGATGGCAGGGACAACAGAGTCTATCTGGGATGCAGTATTAGAAAGCCAGTTGTTGCCACAGACTTAAGCCATGATCTCCAATACCAGTTTGTTAGTAGCGATGATAACATTTTTATCTCCATCAGCCTGAATTCCTGTGCCTATTTCTAAGTTGTTTAGAAGTTAGTAGAGAACGCTGATGCCTATTGTGCTTTCTCAAACCCCAACAGGACAATGCGTAGTATGAAAAGTTTATGAATGCAGTAGTAGCTTGGTAGAATTCCAGTCAAAAAGGAGGACATTCTATGCCATTCTGAGTAAACTCACAAGATATCTTCTCTTTATACAGTCTGTTTTTCTATGCAGTATAGATATTTAAAAACTTTTTTAAAGATTTATTTTGCTTCTAAGTGCTTTTTTTGAATATCAGACTGATGTTTTATTTTTATTTGACATCAAGACAGGCAACACAGCTTCCTAGTAGACTTTTTATACAAGCAACAACCAATTATAAAATATAATAGACCTTAATTATAGTAGCATAATTTCTCATCAAAAAGATACTTACAAATAAACTAAATTAAAAATTACTACCTACACAAAGAAAACTTTACAAAGTTATTGAAGAATATGAAGGCATGAATATCTATGGAAAGATATGCGTTTATATAAGAAAAGTCAATGTTATAAAGATGTCAATGCTTCCTATATCAAGCTCTATGTAAAATACAATTTCAATAAACGTACCAATATTTTATTTTAAACTTGTGACACTGATTCTAAAGTTCAAAGGCAAAATGATTATGCAATGGAAACCAGAAAAAAATTTGTAAAATAAAGCTAAAGGATTAGCCCTACTATACCAAAAAAATTATAAAATTATGTCAACTAAAGTAGTGCATTACTGGCATGTGAACAGACAGACAGTTAAATGGAACAGAATAGACCTATATTTAAGGATATCTGTTTTAAGGAGAAAAATAAAAAAATAATGGCTCATATAAAATGAAAGATTATTTCTCATTTTTATAAAGTCCAATAAAACGTGTTTCTGCTCATCAGGCTCTCCTTCAAGCAAGGATGCTGGGACTCATGCTCCTTACATCTTCAGCTCTGCCATTCTAACGTGTGTCTTGCCAAGTCTTTCTAGAGGATATCTCCATTCCACCTAGCAGAAGGCAAGAAGGATGGAGGGTCATACGCAGAGTCACTTCCTAACTACAGTGGAAGCTGGGAAATACTCCGTCGTTTGTACCCAGAAAGAAGAGGGATCAGGTTTGGTGAATACCTAGCATTTTCTCACATGAGACCCAAATTTGTACTGGAATTTGTTGTGTAATCAGAGTGGCATTTTATATCAATGGGGAAAGATAAACTGTTCAGTAAGTGAGGCTGAAGAACTCTATGGCTAGCTCAAAAAAATTAAGTTGGGTTCCCACTTCATTCCTTATAACAAAGTAAATTACAATCGAATCAAATCTGAATGCAAAGAAAATAAGAAAACTGTTAGAAAACACAGGAGAAAAGAGAAGGGCTTTTTATAAATAAGCATGCCTTGCCTGGAAGAGTCAAAGATATGTGGGTTTAAGATTGTTTAGCGCATCCACTCAAATATAACCATCTCAGGTTTCACAGTCCTATTTCTTTTCTTTCAGGGCCTTGACGTTAACATGGAAT